AAATATTAAAGAACAAAAGGTATAAGAGTATAATAATGATTCTAACATAACACTAAGCCAAACACCAAAAAAAAAAAAAAAACTACATATATGTGTATGTACAACCATACGCACATACATACACACATATATATATATACATACATACACATTTATAAATCCAATATATATAATGATTACAAAGATACTATTTAAACTGAACTGAGCTGGATGATGGCATTGCTGAATTGAATGATGAACTGTCTTTAACTCAAAAATTAGTGTTTACTATTGTCATTTTGCATTATTGACGCACTATTTTCCTAATTAATGCTGTTCAGTTGCTTTGACACAATCTGTATTGTTAAAAGCGCTATATAAATAAAGGTGACTTGACTTGACGACCGGCATAGAGTTGCTATGGCTACTCGCCAGGCGAACGCGACTTCGCTAGCATTTTTCTAAGGCATTTTGACTAAAGGCTGAAATACTACACGACTTTTGTCCAGATTTTTGTCCCCAATTTGCAGTCTGATCAAGTCAATCCTAGTTGCAGAATTCAGAGACAGATTCCACAGAAAATCGCGTAATGTATGATGGGCAAAGACACCAACTATTAAGACTATTTTTAACTTCAGACTTGGACTTCATCCAGTCAGAGTATATCAGAGTTTGATATCTTGAGTCGATTATAAAACACATTTTGTTTTTATTTAGCAATGTGAAAGTCTGGTAGTGTGTGATTCTCAGTTGTTTAGTGTATGATGCCCATTTTTTCTGTAACCATTTACAAAGTCAGCAAGTGTATGATGTCTAGTGTTTTAAAATCTGTTCAGATTTTAAAAGTCATGTAGCATATTCCATAACTTTCAAGATAGTCTGAAAGCAGAAGGTCTGGACTCCATATAGCTTTCCTTGGCCAAGGACCTCCCTGGAGGACATCTGACTAACATGTAAAGCAGCCAGTCACAGTTTGTTTTGTTCAGTGTCATTTTCATAGTTGTAAACAAGATGGCTTTCTTCTTCCATGAGGGGGTTTGGCGTCACAACAGCGTTGTTTCCAGGCATGCCTTTTTTTGTACTTCAAAACTCCCAAAGTGTTTACCATTATGTGTGTGTGTGTGTGTGTGTATATATATATATATATATATATATGGTATATGCACACAGTAACACTTCTCTAAAAATAGTACATACTTTACAATACAGACACAATACAGGTGGGTGAGTCTGAGTCAAACCTTAATTAGGAGGCTAGACAAAGTGAGAGGGAAAGAGAGCTATGAATACAAACATAATTATCACCAGCTCTGGGTTCAGCATATAAATACAGCCAGGCTCTTCAATGGCTCAGCCACACCTCAAGTTCTGCCTGTATGGCACCTGGACAAGCTTCAGAAATGATGCCATCTGTCATCATCAGACATGGCAGGGGTAAGCAGCCCATCGTGACTTGTGGGCAATGTTTTAGCGGGTCCATTTCAGGCCCCACTGACACCCAGACAGCGATCACCTACACTTCAGGTGTGGGTTTGAGCTGCTGGTTCAACCTTAGGCTGGTCCTTCTTTCTGAATGAATGAATATCAGAGGCTGCCTGTGTAAGCTATTAAGAAGTGTTTGCTGCTCAGTGGAGACCGGCCTCCCTGTGCTACCTCAATATAATTACAGCTGTCTTCTCTTATTGATCTGAACAGGCTCTTTGTGAAAAGACTGTAAAAATCTCCACACCCCTTCATATACGCTCACACCAGCCATTTAAAGATTCAATCTTAATGGCATCAGCAATCAGACAGTCAGACAGCCATCACACAATCCCAAACTATTGTTTCAGCCCATAAATTAAATATGTGTGCATTTAAATTCTAGTGAGCATCCTCCATAAAAATGGAGGTCTCAATACAGTATTATTTTATTAAGAAGGTGTGCATTTAGCGTTTATTCCTCTTTGAATGTCAGCTGTGTGACATTCAGAGCAAACATTATCCAGCATCATAGGCTGTCATTACGCAAAACTAGAAAATCATGCCAGAGAAGCTCAGCTATATGAATTTATTATGGCACTTCTGCTTCCATACATCAGCATTATTAGACAGACTTCATCCATCCACACTCGCTCTCCCCTTCAGAGCTCTGACGGACACACAAAACCATTATGGCATGTATAAACCTCTAGTTTGTGGTCTTTTCGGTCATGACATGTACAACAAAAACAAGAGAGATCATTGCAACAAGCCGTGTGGAAGCATAAAGGCTGTTGCATGTGGTTCTCTGTGGCATGTGATGCTCTGCTGAAAATTACATTACTTGGATCTTATTGTTATTCACCATTCAGCAAAAATGGAAAGGTTAAATGGGTTAAAGGCATTGAATCATTTTTTGTAGGCAAGCATGAAAGCGCAGATGCAGTTTCGGTGACTATTCCAGGTTAACCTGCAGCCTATAGATTCACAATAGTGTTTCACACAGAATAAATGCTGCATTTCTATCAAATATGGCAACGTTCTGCAGACGCTTCAACTGTGACATGAATGACAGCCTGTAGTTGCTCAGCAACACACCATAATTTCTCAGGTTTTGTGCATGAGCTTCTAGTGAGACCGCAACCCATTGTGACAGACCCTGGAAGAGATTCTTATACAGTGAGTTGTCAAGCAGAAACTGGGCCACTGGCCTCTGGATGCTTCATGGACAGATGAGTTAAAATACCCCCAGTCACAGTAAAGCACAGGATGACACATTAGGGCTTGTTCAGCCATCCAAATATGCCATGCCATGACACTCTTTACACAACTGAGTTAAACAGTATCATAGAATTAATGACTGCATATTCAGAATATGAAAATGATTTAAAGTTTGGAGTTGGTGAGATTATTTACCAAATCATTTCTTACCAATTTATCTGCTCATTTATTTGATCAAAATTGAGTAAATCAGTCATATTAATACTATTACTACAATTAAAAATAACAAATTAATAAAATAGTGTTTCTATGTATTATATTTAATATATTTGTAAAAATATTCCTATTGCCAAATATTATTACAATATAACATTTATTTTAATTTAATATATTTTAAGATGTAATATATTTCAGCAGCCATTACTCAGTCTTCGGTGCCACATGATCCTTCAGAAATCATTCTAATAATATGCTGATTTGCTGCACAAGAAACAGTTCTTATTATTATCAATGTTGAAAACGATTGTGCTGCTTAATATTTTTGTGGAAAGTATGATGCATTTTATTTCAGGATTTTTTCAATCAATTGAAAATTCAAAAGAACAGCATTTAATTGAAATAAATATCTTTTGTAACATTATACATGTCTTTACACTCACTTTTGATTAATTTAATGCACCTTTGATAAATAAAGTAGTAATTTCTTTACAAAAAAAAAAAAATCTGTCACACTTTAGATCAGGGGTGTCCAAACTCCTTAAACACATCTGAATCAAGGTTTTACTAGGTATACTAGACAGAGAATGTCTTACTATTAGGAGATGAGAGGGTCTGTATTACTTACTATTGGAGAAAGTGTAACGACTTGTATAACGTGTGCCTTGATGACTAATCACATTACAGCCTTGATGTCATTGAATTTGAGTCAGAGTTTTGCGACACTCAATCACCATTTACAGAAACATAGGAATGAATGAGAAGTGCCGTAAGCTGTATCCCTCCTGTCGCCAGAACTCTGTGACTTTCACTACTCATACCTGCTGCAGACAGCAAGGTAAACAAAGCATCTTAGCATATCTGTTGCTCAGGTAGGTCTGTCTGTGTGCTCACATACTGTCACTAAACAAGCTGATATTTAAGTGAATGTGCATCATTTGTCCGCCTGTTGCTTCTAAAGGCACCATGTACTCTTTGTTGCAGCACTGAATTACAGTTACACTTACTATGTTGTTATAACGCTAACATGCTCCAGTTAAATTTGTCTGGGGGAGGACCCACCCACATTTTTTTCTTCTGACGCCCATGCACTGAGTGCATCCACCCCCTAAAATTATATGATGCTTTCTGTCCATGTTCCCTCTGTCCAAACAGTTCCTCCACAAAAATTGAACTAAACTAAATGCAGCATAGAAATTATGGAAAACTAAATGACCCTTGGACATTTTACTTTTTTGCCTTTTAAATTAGATTGCATTAAACTTTATCATTATGCAGTACAAATACTGAAATACTGCTACCAGAAGTGCATATATACCCTATAGGTGCAAGTGCAAATGGTATGAGGATAGAAGGCAGCAGAGGACTAGGGATGAGGTGAAGTGCACAGTGATAATGGAGAAAAGAGCAGTAATAATAGGCAGGATTTATATAGTAAAAAAAAAAATACTAAGAAATATTCATCATTTCAATTTCCACCCACAAAAATGAAGAATATCCTGGTGAGTCCTGTCCATAAAATAAAAGTAAATGAGAACTAGGACTTTCAAGCTTCAAAATTACAAAAAAGCACCATGAAAGTATCATAAAAGTGGCCCATAATATACTTATTCATAAAATAGATTGAAGTCACATCAGTACAACATCTGTAGCTCACTGTCAGACATTCCAATTGAGAACATTCTTGACCCTTTCGTTATATTATGATTTATTAACAAAGTTCGGGAGGAGCACATTCAGATAATGAACCTAATTAACACGAGAGGAGCACATTCAGTCATCAACTCAATTAAGAAGATAAGCGGTATAAATACACAGCAGACTTACTCTGGGTTCAGGACAAATTACGAGCTCGGAACCCTCCCCTCGGACAGCATGCCAAATATGCATAACCT